TGGGCGTCCGAAGCCGCCAGGGAGGCTCCCAAATCGCCCCACAACCATCCGAAAGGGCTTCCAGGCAGTCCAAGAGAGCCCCCAAACGGCACAACACGGGTCCAATATGGCCCTCAGAGAGCCCCATGGCGGCCCAAGATGGCCCAAAGACACCCTCCGAAGAATTCCAAATCGTGTTTCGGTCGTTCAGGGAGACGGCGGTTGGAGGCAGGATGGCCCGAGGAAGCCCCCAGAGGCCCCCAGAATACGCCCAGGAGGCCTCCAGAAGGCGTTAAGAAAGCCTGAAACAATTTTTGTGAGGCCCCCAGAGGCTCTCCCAGAGGCTCTCCAAGGAGGAGCCTCCGCAAAAAAGGGCTGAGGAGGATGGGGAGCATGCGCAGGGTATGGCGAACATAAGGAACAATAAGCATGGAGGAAGGATAACGAATAACATCATTATAGCTGCAATGCCAGAAAAAGGCAATCAGGAGTTATCGCGCTATTCCGCCTGCATACCAAACTTCAAGGACCAAGGTGCACGGCGCGAAGCGCCACTGCAGTCTTGTATATATATATATATATATATATATGTGTGTGTGTATCGGAGGTGAGGGGGTGAGATCGAAGTGGAACGGAGAGCCCCCCTATCGTGCGTGCCGTGCGTGCGGGCGAGGCTGCGTGGGCGGGTGAGAAGTAGTCTCCTCCGGCTGAGGCGCGGCCGGACCAAATGTTTCTTGTCTGGGGGCTGGTAGCGCGCGGTGTCCCGCCGGTTTCCCGCCTCCGGCTGAGGCGCGGCCTGACCAAATGTTTCTTGTCTGGAGGCCGGTGGCGCGCGGTGTCCCGCCAGTGTCCCGCCGGTTTCCAGTCGGTGTCCCGATGATGATGGTGATGATGATGATGGTGGTGATGATGTCGATGATGTTGACGATGATGATGATGATGATGATGATGATGATGATGATGGTGATGGTGATGGTGATGGTGATGGTGATGGTGATGGTGATGGTGATGGTGGTGATGATGATGGTGTCCCGATGATGATGATGCTGTTGACGATGTTGATGATGGTGATGATGGTGATGGTGGTGATGATGATTGTGTCCCGATGATGATGTTGATGATGATGATGTTGCTGATGATGTGCCTCGATGATGATGATGATGTTGATGATCTTGATGATGTAGATGAAGATGAAATGATGATGAGATGGTGATGATAAAGATGCTGATGATGATGGTGTCCCGATGATGATGATCATGATGATGATGATGATGTTGATGGTGCTCTTGATGATGATGGTGATGATGATGGTGTCCTGATGATGATGACGACGATGGTGTCCCGATGATGATGTTGATGATGAGGATGATGTTGAGGTGATGATGATGATTTCGATGATGGTGGCCCGATTATGGTGATGCTGATGCTGATGTTGATGATGATGGTGTCCCGATGATGATGTTGATGATGATGATGATGTTGCATTTGATGTGCCTCGATGATGATGTTGATGATGTTGATGATGATGAAATGATGATGAGATGGTGATGATAAAGATGCTGATGATGATGGTGTCCCGATGATGATGATGATGATGATGATGATGATGATATTGATGGTGCTGTTGATGATGATGGTGATGATGATGGTGTCCTGATGGTGATGATGACGATGATGGTGTCCCGATGATGATGTTGATGATGAGGATGATGTTGAGGTGATGATGATGATTTCGATGATGGTGGCCCGATTATGGTGATGATGATGCTGATGTTGATGATGATGGTGTCCCAATGATGATGATGATGATGATGATGATGATGATGATGATAATGATGATGGTCATGCTGATGATGGTGACGGTGATTGTGGCGTCCCGATGCTGATGATCTTGATGATGATGTTGTTGATGATGATGGTGTCCCTATGATGATGACGATGTTGATGATGCAGTTCATGGTGATGCTGAGATGATGATGATGATGATGGTGGTGTTCCGATGATGATGATGGTGTCCCGATGATGATGATGATGTTGATGATGCTGATTGTGACGATGATGGTGTCCCGATGGTGATGATGAGGAGGAGGAGGAGGATGGTGATGATGGTGATGTTGATGATGATGATGATGCTGATGATGAGTTGATGATGATGCTGTCCCGATGATGCTGATGATGATGTTGATGACGTTCATGAAGATGATGTTGATGATGATGGTGCGGTTGATTGTGAGATCGATTGTGGTCTCGATAGTGCGATCGATAGTGAGTCCGAATGTGAGACCGATTGTGAGATTGATGGTGAGATCGATAGTCAGATCGATTGTGAGATCGATAGTCAGATCGATTGTGAGATCGATTGGATACAATTGATCGAGCGAGATCGATTGTGAGATCGATCGAGTGAGATCGATCGAGCGAGACCGATAGTGAGATCGATAGTGAGACCGATCGAGTGAGACGTTGGTTCCTCCCCCCCGAACCTCCTTGGTGGTCGTATAGGTATATATACACAGGAGGCGAGGGGGTGAGATCGCAGGGGAACGGAGCGCCCCCCACAGGAAAATGGGTTTCTTTTCAGTTTCGTTTCGTGCGTGTGGGCGGCGCGAAGCTGCGTGGGCGCGCGAGAGGAGTGATGCCGCCGTGGCTAGGGGCTGTGGAGCGAGCCGGCTGTCCGCCCCCCCCCCGCCCCGGCGCGCGGTAGTGCAGCGGTGCCCCATTGGTGGCGCGGCGGTGTCCCGCCGGTTGCGCGGGGTATCCCGTCGGTGGCGCGGCGGTGAGATAGATTGTGAGACCGATCGTGAGATCGATTTCGAGATCGATAGTGAGATTTGTTGTGAGATCGATGGTGGGATCGCTGGTGAGATCCATCGTTAGACCGAAAGTGAGACCGATAGTGAGAATTGTTGCGAGATCGATAGTAAGCCCGAATGTGGGATCGATCGGGAGTTCGATTGTCAGATCGATGGTGAGATCGAATGGGACATCGATGATGAGATCTGTTTTGAGATCGATCGTGAGATCGCCTGTGATATCGATCTTGAGTTCGATTAACAAATCAATCGTGGGATCGATGGTGAGATCGACCGTGAGATGCTGTGAGATCGATAGTGACATTGGTAGTAAGATCGATTGTGAGACCGATAGTGAGTTAGGTTGGGACATCGATTGGTACCTGTTGTGAGATCGATAGCAAGATCTATTGTAACATCGATAGTGATTTTGATCATGAGATATCTGTTGGTATCGGCACTGAGATCGATGCTGATGCCGGTTGTGATATCGATTGTGGTATTGATTGTGTGATCGATAGTGGGATCGATGGTGCGATCGACCGTGAGATCGATAGCGAGCCCGATAATGATCATTGTAGTGAGACCGATAGTGAAGCCGAATGTAAGATCGATATCGAGGTAGATTATCATATCGATGGTGAGATCGATTGGGCGATCCATAGTCGGATCTGTTGTGATACCGATTGGGAGATTGTGAGTTTGATTTCCAAATTGATGGTGAATTCCGAGATCGATGGTGAGATCTGTTGCGAGATCGATCGAGAGATCGGTTGTGATACCGGCAGTGAGGTTTTTTTTTGTAAGATCAAGAGTTTGATCGACGTGGTATCGATTGAATGAGGCGTTGGTGCTCACTCCCCCCCGAACCTCCATATCACCCGAAGGGTGGTCGTATAGGTGTGTGGATTCTTGTATATATATATATGTATATATATATATATATATTATTATCACGTTGTTATCGACAGGCAGGGGATATCAATAGAGAGACAGATAGTGAGGCCCATATGTGGAGATTGATGAATGCAGACAGACAGCGAATTCGACAAATGGTTAGTGCGATCGATCTATACAGGCAAAGTGATGGTATTATAGGTAGTCAGGCAGACATGTATATGTAGTGATTTCGAGGGACAGGCACATCGATAGAGGTCGTTCGATGGATGGATTCGGTTGTCCCGATGGTTATCGTGGTTTGGGTTCCACCAAGGAGATTTGTATCGGCTGTTGGCCAGCTTTATAGGTAAGCGTATCATGAAACACAGAGGCCGACACCGATCAATTCAAAGACATCCTGGAGTTTCGTAGCTTCCTCAGAGCCGTTGGGGTCCGCTCGGTGCTCTCTCGGGGTCCTCTTTGGGGCCCGTCGGGCACTCTTGGCGCATTGTTTGTACTTCTGGACTCGGAAGGTCGCCTCTTCCGTATTCAGGTCCATTTGGATCAGTCGTTTTTGGATGCTATTGGGGCCGTGTTGGGCTTGTTCTAGACTTCTCTTGGGGCCTTTCTGGATTATATTGGCGGAGTGTTTGAGGCCTAAGGAGGCCTCAGATACCCAACGGGAGCAAAACAAGACTAGACGCCCAGATACATTGGGACACATGCTGATGTTTGATGATTTTGGCCGTTCGGGGGCGACCCGGAGAGGCCGCGTGGCCACTTAGAGCCATATCGGGCCGCATTTGGTGTTGTAACCCGTCGGGCGAAGTGGTCGTGGGGTGGGGGGGGGAGGGGGGGGAAGGCAAATTTCCCCCCGAAGGGAGCGAGGGAGGTTGGAATAAGAAGCTCCCTAAATCACCTGCGCCCAAAGGGTTGGTGGGAATCAGGCCAGGCCCCAAGGCTAAAATAGAATGCGCTCGGATCCATCGGCGTTGAGATCCAGTCCGCCACAGGGGAGATGTTGGACGGGCGGCACCCCAAATAACCACATTCCGCACGCTTGTGTTGCTTCTTTGTCTACCTAGGCTTGACGTAGAGGCTTACGAGGATGGCGTGAAAGGCGCCGAGGATGATAGTTGCCAGATGTGACCATCACGTGTTCCGCCGCTATAAACTCGCCAAGCGTTTGAGCTCTGAATGGCTGATTCAGTACAGCCGACTCAGTTCAATTCGAAACTAGTGTTTATTGAAACGTGACAGAAACATATCGTTATGTAGAATTGTTGAGCACGCCCATCCAGCCCCGACCGATGGCAAGCATTTGGTCAAGCGCCTGTGCCCCGCCCGTAGGGAACCGTGGTGAAGGTCGATGAGGACGGCGATGCCTTCATCAAGTTCGATGACCACAAGGATAAGGATGTTGTTGGTATCGATGTGATTGGCGATGAGAACGACGATGATCGTGTTGACGATGGCAGGACGTTGCACGGATTGATCTTACAGTTGTTTTTTGATTGTCCGATCTGTTTGATTAGTTCCATTCAAAATGCAGTTTTGAAAGTTGTCTTATTCAAGGTGAACACAAACGGCGCAACATGTAAGACATGGGTTCAAGAGGCATACGCCATCCCGCCGACCTCCAGACGAAGTGAGGTTTTGGGGGCGTCTTGGTGGGCGTCTTGAAGCCTCGCCAGAGTTTCCTGGGAGCTTGCTGGCTATTCTTTGGACGCCGTCGCGCGCATTGGATGTCTTTGAGCCTCCGGGTGCGTGGGAGGAGTGGCCTCCGCGCAGTCGCTACTCCGCGCATGGGGCTCACTTCTGCTGCACACTTCTCGGGAGGGATCACAGAATATGTTCGACTCGCGCCTAAGGCGAGATGCTCCCGGAGTGACGTCGCGGATCGTCGATAGAACCTCCTCATCTTGAAGTGTGACAAAGAGTGAAAGGAATAGCAGGAACGAGTGAGCAGGAGTGCAGAAATAAAGCGGGACAAGCAGGCCAAGCAAGGTCGATCTAATTTTTTCATCTTATGGTGAGCAGGAAAAGGAGATGGGGGGAGGGTTCTCGCTGCTTCCGCTGGAGAGCGTCAGTTTCCCGCGCGAAGAAGAGTGGTTGTCGCAGGAGTGGGTGGTCAGAGCGAACTTCCACAAGCTGCGGTTCGTCACGGATCATGCCGAGGCTTTTTGTCGCATTTCCGCATTTCTGCATTGTCTCTAAGGGTCCGGCCCTCCCATGATCCGTGTCGTCCCGCCCTTCATGCTTCTTCCTTCGAACTTCTTCCTGCTGCTTTTCTCCCGTTGTTCCTCTACTCGCCATCCCTCCTTTCTCTCTTCGTCATGCGCACCTCCTTGTCTCCCCGTGGTTTTCATGTTATGCTCTCACCGCCGCCTTCTCCTCATTATGTCGCCCAACTGCCTTCTTTCTCCTGGCTGCAGCGGCTTCCTCCCAGCTCTCTCTTCAATCTGGTTTCCTCCCTGCCCTGATGTTGAGTATTGATCGTTGGCTCGTCCTGGGCTTCACCTATGCATGTACTACCAGAGTTGTCATATGTTTCTGGACACCGCCTCTCTTTAGCGCACGAGGCAGTCCAGAAGTCGGGGATATGTGGCCCTTGGAGCATTCAGACGATTCAGACATGAGACTCGAACGGCCTAGAGGGACCCCATGAATTGCCCCCGGCACGGTGGCGGGGCTGCACGTGTGGCGTGATGTCCAGTTGCTTGCAACAACGAACACTGCCACCATGCCAACATAGAATCGAGATGCATTCATGACGGTTCGACCGAGCTCTTCCCTTCTTCCCATTCCTGCTTCTTCTCCCATTCCCTCTTCGTTCTTTCTATTCCCGTCATCATGGTGTTCTCCACCCTCGTCATCCTCCTGCTTCTCTTTCTCCCGAGGAAACGCGGGAGGCGCCAGACACGGAGAAGCGTCGCACCCGAGGAGCGTTTTGTTTGGGAGGCTTTGGCGAGTGGATCGCGAGGTCAAGGCTGGTCGAGGGGACCTGTGGGCTGGGGTGAGCCCGTCGTGATACCCGTCTGTCGCTTACATAGTCTTCCCACGTGCTAGACGGTGGGTTCAGCAGGAGTTTGGGCACTCACGTTTGCATTCGTTTTGGCTCCGTATGCAGTGGCTCAAGCAGCCCTTCGTGAGCAGGGAGGCTTGATTGGCCTTGCGGAGGCCCAACGTCTCCCCACGGGCTTTCGCGCGTTGCCACGCCGCGCGTGTATGCCGACAGTGCCATAGCGGGGCCGTGGTGCTGATGCGCGCCGTTGACCTGTTGGTTGGCGTGGCCGTTCGGGCGGGCGGCGCCGCTGGGAAGGAGTCCCGCGCGCCGGGGCGCCGGTTGGATTGCCGACGCGCAGCGCGAGCCCCACATGGAGCGAGGCGGCCTGACGGCCAGCCCCGTGGGCGGCGCCAGCAGGGGATCCAGCCCGTAAGGCGACGGGCGTCGAGGGCGGGCTGGCCCCCCCCACTCGGCGGGAACCCTGATAGTACGTTGAGCGATGCCAGTCATCGGCCAGCTCGGAGGGTTTCCGTGCCCCGCTGCCCTGGCCAATTTTCGGGAGGGGAGGCGGGGTGCAGCAAGGTGGGTCCGGATGTCTGTCCCTAGTGGCCGCCTGCTGGTTGGCCGTTGGCTTACTGGTGGCGGAGCGAGCGCCGCTGCCGCTCTTGGGGAGGTGCGCGGGACAAAGCGCGGGACAAAAACAATTCGGACGCGCTGTACTGATCGGCTCGGCGATCCCAAGGTTTCATGCCCGAATTGCGGCATTGCTGCCGGATGATGTCCATGCGGAGGAGGCCCTCTTGAGGCGACGGCCGCTTGGTTCCGTAATTACTTAGGCTCTGCCTAGAGCCTAGAAGGGTTCTTACTTTATAAGCTTAGAGGGCCGGGCAGTGGAACACGCCCCGGGCGGTTCCCCCAGGATCCGCCCCGCGGTTCCCCTGGCATCCACCCCGCGGTTCCCCCAGTTAGGCCCTTGCTTAGCTTAGCTTAGCTTGGCTTAGCTTAGCTGACCTTATTTCACCTTAGCTTAGCTTAGCCTAGCCTAGCTTAGCTTAGCTTAGCTTGTCTCAACTTCGCTTAGCTTAGTCTAGCTTCGCTTAGCTTAGCCTACCTTAGCTTACCTTCGCTTCGCTTAGCTTAGCTTAGCTTATCCTAGCTTAGCTTTGCTTGTCTCATCTTAGCTTAGCCTAGCTTAGCCTAGCTTAGCTTAGCCTAGCCTAGCCTGGCCTCGCTTAACTTAGCTTTGCTTAGCCCAGCTCAGCTTAGCTTAGATTAGCTTAGCTTAGCTTACCTTAGCTTAGCTTAGCTTAGCTCACCTTACCTTAGCTTCGCTTCGCTTCGCTTAGCTTAGCTTAGCGTAGCTTATCTCATTTCAGCGTAGCTTAGACTCGCCTAGCTTAGCGCAGCCAAGCTTAGCTTAGTTCAGCTTAGCTTAGCTTACTTTAGCGTAGCTTATCTCATCTCAGCGTAGCTAAGCTTAGCTTAGCTATCTTAGTTTAGCTTCGCTTAGCTTAGCTTAGCTTAGCTTATGTTGCTTTCCTAGGGGCTCCAACTCTTAGGCCGGATTGCATTGGGATAGTTTTTCTTAGAAACGAGCCGCTACTCCAAAGGAGGTGTCTCTTCAGCCGCCTTGGGTTTGCGAGAGCCCTGGGCGCGACGAGCGTTCGGGTCGGCGCCTGACGCGACGCGAAGGAGGCCTTGGCGGTTCCACCTCGTGCCCCTGGAGCCGCCGCGAAGTGGCACCCAGCCCGCAATGAGGACGCCTCGGGGGAGGAGGCCGAGGTCGAGGAGATAATTTTTAATTCGCCAAATGGATCACACGTTGTGCCCCCCCTGCCCCCCCACCCCCCCCGCAACGGTAACGCCCTGGCCCCGTCCAGCGCGCGATCCTGGGCAGCTTAGGGCTTGTGGTGCACGCAGGCACTACTAGTGCCGCGGTGCACGCGGGCGTGCACTATGTTGTGCACAGGCGCTGCAGGGTACACGGGCGTTGTGGCGCACACGTCTGTCGTTGCAGCAGCAGTTGTGGTGTACACAGGCACCGTGAGTACACGCAAGAATTATGTTGTACATCACAAGCCTTGTGGTGTACGCAGTCGCCGTGATGTACACAATCGCCGCAGTGCGCAACATCGCGTTGCTGTAAGCGTGCGGTGCGGATTATCACTTACCCACACATATCTTCCTTTTTGTTCCTCTTCCTCCTCCCTCTTCATGTTCGTCCTCCTCGCCGTCCTCGCGCATAGAGGACGCGGGCTTTGATAATGATGACGAGGAGGAGGAGGAAGAGGAGGAGGAGGAATGATATTCATATAGCTGTGCGCAGGCTGTGCGTGGTGCATCATGAACTCCTGCAACGAGCCTTTTGATGATGGCGTGCATCTTGGCAGCGCTCTTGGAAAACATGCGCGGGGCCCGAGCTGTCGACCCCATCGCGGGTGTTTTTGTTAGTCCTCCTGCTCCTTTTGTTGGTGCTGCTGTTCCTCCTGCTTCTCCTGCGTATATTCCTTCGGCTGCGCCGGTCCGCGCGCCCAAGCCGCGTGGTGTTTTGATTACATGACATGATGTGGTGCGGGCGGGCGCCATGACGTGCGCAATTGTTATGGCGTGCGCAGGCGTTGGTGGCCCCACATGTGCGAGCGTTTCTTGGGGCAGATAAGCAAGTATCCACGATCAGTTCAGATATTGAATCGGAAACGCTTTGGCCCCAAAGGACTTTTAAACATTTGGATCCGTCGGTACCTTCAAGTGTACGCAAGTTTCGTGGTGTACGCAGGCGTTGTGGCGCACAGGGGGCGGAGACAGTGTGATGTACAGGAGTGTTGTGGTGTACGCGGCTGTTATGGTGCATGCAATCGCCGTGGTGCCCACACACCACTTCTGCAGCAATCTTGGTGCACAGAACGCACTGTGATGTACCTGCCCGCTCTGTGTGCAAAAGGCACCGTGGGTTTGGACGGCGACGGCGACGACGACGACGACGACGACGACGTAGGCGGCGCGTTTCGGGGGGGGCGCGCCGCGGCCCCCGTTGCCGTTACCCCCGCCGCCCCCCTCCCAGGGTGACGCGTGTTATCCCCCAGGAATTCAACGTAGTTTCGAGGCCGCAAGATTATAGTGGAACGCAGAAGCGGTGCGCGGGCCGAGCCGGCCGTGGGCGCGTTTTGCGAGTCAGTGGCGGCGGAGCCCGAGTCACAGGACCCACGCGCCGTCGCCCCCGCCCCGTTGGCGTGGTTCGCCGACCACGGCGCCCCGACAGAATGCCGCCGCTTCGTTGACGTCCAGCACGTTGCCCACAACAGCCGCTGAGGACAATGCGTGCGCGGAGGGGTTTCTCCCTCGGTCGGGGCCAGCCTGGGTCCGCGCTCAGCGGGCCGGCGTTGTTCCCTCGGGCGCCAGCGTCCGAAACGCCCGCCGCGCCTCCGTTCCGACGGCGTTTTGCTGGAGGACGGCCCGGAAAACGCTTCCGAATATGGCGGCCCTTTGGCCGGCGTCCAGCCGGTCAGGCTCGCCGCCCTTGGTTTGCTGGGTGCGCGGCCTGAGCACCTCGCCGAGACTTGCGCAGTGCCTCGTCAGCGCGAGGCATCCCACCTTTGCCGGAACTCCCGGCGGCTCCAGCCACGCGGAGCAAGCAGTTGCAAGCGCCCATGCGCTGGCCCACTCCGCGCCCGGATCAGGCGGCAACGAAAACGCAGCGGCGCCCCATCAACATGGGAGAGGTGATCCGCGCCAGCTACGACTAGCACTACGCCAAGCAGCACTTCCAGGCCCGTTTCACCCGCTTTGCGCCGCTCGCCAACCGGGCATAGATGTGCCCGGAGTTTGCGAGGCCATGTCACATTGGTGCGATGCGGTGGAAAAGCTGGCCGTGCAGGGAGCAGTCCCATCTGTGGTGGCATTGGACGTTGATTTGGATGACATGTTCGGCTGCGCGGACTGGGCCGCAATGCGAGCCTCGATCGACCCCGCGGCTTTCCCTGAGATTGCCGCTTGCACCAGCAAGAGCCTTCTGAGACAATCACCCCCCTCTGGCGACATGTCTGCCACAGACCGCGGCGCCGAACAGGGAGGAGGCTTCGGCGCGGTGCAAGCGGGGCTCGCTGTTGCCGCCGCTTGCGCCCCCCACGCTGGGCCGCCCGCCGAAGGGGCCGCCGCCGTCGCCGCCGCGTCCGGCGATCAGGGGGAATGGTTCGTTGACGATAATCAGGTGTTTTGTTCGCCCGCGCGCACTGGACCCTGTCCTGCGACGCCCCGGCGCCAGCCCTGCGCCCTTCGGCGGCGCGCGCGGGGCGCTGGCCGCGGGCGCAGCCGAGAGCTCCCGCTGCCTGCTCAGCCACGACAGCGAGCGACACCGCTACGGCGGCTGGGGCACCGACTACGCCCAGACGGCCTGCCCGGCGTTCGCCCCCTCGCCATGGCAGTCTACGACGGGCGCGCAGACGAGGCCGCGACCCGCCTCGCCCTCCCCTTTGGGCGAGGGCGAAGACGACGAACGCCCCAACTCCACTCCGCGCACCTGGGAGCTGCAACTGCAGCGGGGGCCCCTGCGCCACCGCGACGGGCAGGACTGGCGCGACCTCCTGGCGGCGACGCGGCACAGCGGCTGCTCGACAACCTCGAACGCCCCGATCGCAACCGCACCTGGCTTTGGGACCTGTCCAAACACATGGGCCCGGCGATGGGCTCCGCCGACTTCGCCGAGGCTCTCCGCCGTCGCGTCGGCGCGGCAGGACGTCTCCATCCACTCCGCCCTCCGCAGTCTGCGCGGCGCTGCCGTCCTCGGCTAGGCAGGGCCTCGCGCGCCGCGCCGCGGCCGCGCGGGTTCCGCGCGGGGGCGCTGCGCAGTGGCGCGACGGGCGCGCGACGCCGCCGGAGGCTTCGATCTCGGCGCCGAGCCCGAGGCCCCGGGCCTGCAGGTGCCAGGCGCGCGACTCCT